ATTTTTGCAATTTGATAAAGAGGATATTTTTTAATAAATCTTTTGAATATGACAAGAATCCAAATAGTCTTTATGGTTGAGATGATATAGCAAATAATTTGGAATGGGTTTTCTTTTTGAAATACTTATTTTACTTGTAGAAATTTAGAAGTAAATAATTTACTGGCAAATAAGTTAAAGCAGAAAGGAGTCAAGTTTTGGCATCAGCCTGCCAGGTTTTGAATTCTAACTACCACATTGTCTAGGTATTTCTCAACTTGAAAAACAATCCAGTTATTTTTTTAATCTGTAATGCACTTTCTCATCTATAATAAGGTAATATTCTTTGCAAATTAAACAATTATATAAACTAAGGAATATGTATGTAAATTGCCTAGCACATAATACACATTAAAAAAAAACAATTTATGATTATTATTCTGTAAAAGGGCTAAGATTTATCATTTATTACAAAAATTAAATTTATAAAAAAGTTAGAAAATATAAATTGTGTAAGTGTGACTTACGTAAGATAAGACATTATGTAGTCATTAAAATCATGCCATGGAAGAATATTTAAATGGTATGAAAATATATTCATAATTTGTTATTTAATAAAAATCCTACAAAATATGTTATATGATCTCATTACTACTTTTAAAAATATATTCATGAGCACGGGCCTGCGAACCAGACAATCGAGGTTCGATTCCCAGTCAGGGCACATACCGGGGTTGCAGGCCGGGTCCCTGCAGGGGACACATGAAAGGCAACCATACATTGATGTTTCTCTCCCTCTCTCCTTCCCTTCCCCTCTAAAGATAAATAAATAAAATCTTAAAAATAAATAAATAAAAATATATTCAAACATATATACGATATGAACTAAATATATTTTGATTATCTCTGGGTAAAAGTAAATTTAAAACTTTCTTATCTTGCTTTTCCAAATTGTAATTTAAACACATACTACTTTTGTATCAAGAACACGTAGGCCTCTGTTGTCTCTGTCTGCACTGAAGTAGCCACCTTGCTCTTGCTGATGTTGGAGGACCCTTCCTGCTTTAGGTTCACCAACAGCATAGTCAAGACACATTAGCCAAATTTCAGCTTCAGCTCCGGAGAGGGGACAAAGGCACTGCTGGCAGGGAGAGGGAGCAAGGGAACCACTGGCAGAAAGAAGGTGGTATGTAGAATAGATAACAACTGATTGCAAAAAAAGTCAAAGTTCTCTAAAAAATTTGCTGAAAATAATATAGCTGGTATTGAAAAGGGAAACATAATTATAGATGATTGGACCATTATTCATTTCAATAGTTGTAAAGTCCAAGCCTCCCTTTCTGCTAATACCTTTGTTATTATCAGTCCTGCAGAAGCTAATTCAGTCACAGAAATGCTTCCTGAAATACCAAGTCACCTTGGTGCTAATAGCTTAACAAGCCCTAGGAAATTTGATGAACAGTTGCCAAGGCAAGTGGATAGCAAAGCACCAACACCAGAAGACACTGACAATGATGAGGATATTTCAGCTCTCCTAGAAAATTTTTATGAGACATCAAATAATGAAGCTAACTGAAATCTTTTCTGGTTTTGGAGAGCTGGCATGGGCTAGGTTTAGCTATGTCTTCCAAAGTATTACAGACATAGAGAACATAAACTGTGACTATTATAGTAATATAAATATTTTGTATGTTAATAATGTTTTCGTTCAGCATTTTTCAGTCATTTGTTTCTGCATTTTGCACTTCCTCCCAAGATCTTTTCTTTTGGTCAAAATACAAAATATTGGTGCACTTTGAGGGTGTTTTGATTTTGATTCTTTGTTTGTTGTGATTTTGGTGTGTATATTTGTGTGGGCATCACATAGTGGAGAGCAAATTGGAAAACAGTTCTATTTATCTTCCTCTTGCCTCCAATAGAAATAAAATAGATCTTGACATTAAAATATATAATAAAGACTATTTTTAGAAAGAAATAGGAATCTAAAATATCAAGTTTCCTGCACTATGTATTTTAGGGAATATGGTAGTTGGTTAATTTGAAAGTTCTGTTCATTATTCACCAAGCTACAGTAATTTGGGGATAATATGTGAGTCCAAACACTGTAATTCATTTCAAATATCATTAGAAGACAAGCTTGGAAATTACTCTCAATAATATCAGTTCTGAGTGTATTAACAAATACATGTTATGAAAGAAAAATCTGTAACTATTCAGAGGATATTGGAATCAAATGCAATAAAGTAGTGTGGCTTATGAAAAATAAATTCATCCAGTCAAATTCAATAAATTTGTCCCCCAGTATAAAAACAGAATTACTGGATTACAAGAACACATTTAAACAAAGTCTGTCATGGAATAACTTATGAAGTTTGCTCACAGAATTAATTCAAAGTTGAAGTAGAGGCAATTCTCTGCCTAAAAAATTGAAGACAAAAAATATATAATATATGAGAATTTTTAAAGGATGAGGAGCTATTTGGTGGAAGTAGCATTATAAATTATCTGCTATTTGGTGGAAGTATTATAAATTATATGATTTTATATCTGTATTTGTGACCTAGAATTGGGTGATAAGTTGTACATTTATGAAAAGCACACTTTATGTTAATTTGAAAAACAACTTTATAATTTAATACAGAGGGAAAAAGTTACCCCTGCAAAGCTACTAATACAGAAAATTAATTTGGAGATCAAACTATTGTCCAAGGCATCATTGGCAAATATGTTTTCACATTCAGTTGATTCTCTTTTCACTTTAATGCTATTTTCTTTAGCCATGCAGAAGCTTTTTATTTTGATGAGATCCCATTTGTTTATTCTTTCCTTTATGTCCCTTTCTCTAGGGGACATATTGGTGAAAATATTGCTGTGTGGAGTATCTGAGATTTTCCTGTCTATGTTTTCATCTAGGAATTTTATGGCCATAATAAACAAATCAACAAATAACAAGTGTTGGAGAGGATGTGGAGAAAAGGGAACCCTAGTGCACTGTAGGCGAGAATGCAGACTGGTGCAGCTACTGTGGAAAACAGTATGAAATTTCCTCAGAAAACTAAAAACTAAAACTAAAAAGTTTTATTGCTTTTTATTGCCGAAGGTCAATTGCCTTTTGACCTGGCAATTCCACTGCTGGGATTATATCCTAAGAACCCCGAAACACTAATCCATAAGAACCTATGTGGCCCAATGTTCATAGCAGCACAATTTACAATAGCCAAGTGCTGGAGGCAACCTAAGTGCCCATCAGTGAATGAATGGATCAAAAAGCTGTGGTACATTTACATAATGAAATACTATGCAACAGAAAGAAAGAAGAAGCTCCTACCTTTTGCGACAGCATGGGTGGAACTGGAGAACATGATGCTAAGTGAAATAAGCCAGGTTGGGAAAGACAAATACCATATGATCTCACCTATAAGAGAAACCTAATCAACAAAACAAACAAGCAAGCAAAATATAACCAGAGACTTTGAAATCAAGAACAATCTGACAGTAACCAGAGGGGAGGTATGCAGAGATAATGGGGGGAAAGATGGAAAAGGATCTCAGAAACAGCTATGAAGGACACATGGATAACACCAAGGTGGTTTGGAATCAGGGGAGGAAGGTGGGGATGGCTGGGGAGGGGAAGAGAGTCATGGGGGGAAAATGCAGACACTGTACTTGAACAAAAATTAAAAACAAAGAAAGAAATATGTCCTGTCTGGTGTAGCTCTGTGGATTGAGCACGGGCCTGCGAACCACACGATTGCAGTTCGATTCTCAGTCAGGGCACATGCCTGGGTTGCAGGCCAGTTCCCAGCAGGGGACTCATGAGAGGCAACTATACATAGATATTTCTCTCCTTCTCTCCTTCCCTTTCCCTCTAAAGATAAATAAATAAAATCTTTAAAAAACAAAGAAAGAAATAAAAGTAATTTAAATGTGCCAAAATGTACTGTTTTTAAGAGACAACAGGGGAAATAAGACAAGAGGAAAACATCTTAACTATTGTTTAGTAAAGGTAGTATCTGGTAGTAGGTTAGTACTATAAGAACCACACCTGTATTGACCCATCAATCCTCAGTTCAGTTCTAGGAGGTGTATTTTATTCTTTCAATTTTACAGATGAGGATCCTGAGGAACAAAAAGGTTAAAAAATTGGCCCAAGGTAACACAGCAAGAGGCAGAGTCAAATGTGGCCTACCTAAAATGCTTTTCTTTAATTGAATTTCTGCAGCCCTTTGCACTGTGCAAAGGACTGTTGTTGCATACAGGTGTGTAGTATGTCTCACTAGCTAACCTGCCCACTACCTTTCCAGTACAACTAAGGAGCCATATTGATGGACACAACATGATTTAAAGAGTCTGACATTAAATCTGGATTCTAGTCCTGGTAATTCCACCTAGAAGATGTGAGCTCTTGGTCAAGCCACTTAATTAAAATCTAGTGTGACTTTCCATGTCCTTAAAATAAAGGGAATAATATAATCTGTACTGTTCTTCTCAGGTCTAGTATATGATTATCATCTAAAAGCCATTACTTTGTATTCCTTTAAAGCAACTTTTAAAATGTTTTATATGAGTCCTGGAGAAGGATTGTAAAAGAAAAAAAGAGTCTGAATTGAACTCGACAAGACACCATGATTGGGTCGAACAGGAGAATTGTTGTCCACCAAGACTCATGACATTGTACGAATACTACCAAGTCGTCATGGTTGGAGAAGCCTGATGAAGAGGGGCACTGGGCTTTTTCTTTCTTTTTTATGTAAGGCTTTTTCTTTTTTTTTTTTTTTTAGTAATGGTTGTCATATTTTTAATTTATATATTTTTATTTTTAAAGATTTTATTGATTTATTTTTAGAAGGAAAGGGAGCGAGAAAGAGAGGAAAGAAACATCAATGTGTGGTTACCTCTCATGTGCCCCTTACTAGGGACCTGGCCTGCAAACCAGGCATGTGCCCTGACTGGGAAGTGAATCAACAATGCTTTGCCTTGCAGGCCAATAATCAATCCACTGAGCCACAGCAGCCAGGGCAAAAAATATGGAACACTTCACAGATCTGCGTGTCATCCTTGTGCAGGGACCATGCCTATCTTCTCTATATTATTCCAATTATAGGATATGTACTGCCAAAGCAAGCACTGTAAGGCTGTCTTTATTTTGAAACTTTTACTAGATGGTCCCCCCTCAGAAGACACTATAAGTACCTTTAGCACTATAATGGGGGGGAAGAAAAGCCCATATTCTAGAGAATAGTGGTTTATGAAGGTAGAATAGCTGGGGGGGGAGGGCGGGGAATCTAAGGAGTAGAAACTGCAAAGAAGAGTATAGAGAGAAAGGAAGGAAGCTCTTGAGAAATAAAGGTCACCTCAGTTGCCCAGTATCTCTCTAGAGAGTTGAAAATCCTCAATTACTCTTCAAAGGGGCTGGAACATAAGGCAGTAGCTGGGACAACTGCCAAGACCTTTTTTTGTTGTTGTTCTGAGGAGTGCCCATTTTCGGGCTAGATCTTACCCTCCAGCTGTGAGCCTGACTTGAATTTGGATTCTCTACAAGCTCCTAATAAAGGATGATAGTGACTAGGGAATGATTAATTTCTGCTACCCTCTTTTTTTAAGCAAGTAGAAATCCAGGGCTCTGAGAAATCCTAGTGAAGCTAATTGTTCCTATTGCCCTAAAGTTAAGGAGAAATGTAGACTGAATCACCATGGGGGTAAGTCAGAAAGGACCAAACATATTCCTAACATTTGACTTTTGCATCTAGAAGTTAATTTGACAATAGCAACATAACATCAGTCAGAAGCAAACTAAACACTTTTGGCTTTCTACTAACATCATTATTAAAAGGTCAAGTGTGGTCATCATTTTAAATTTACCTTTGAAATATTGCAGATATACCATTAATATTTACTTCACTTTATTCTGGAAGGACTCCTGATCCATACACTATTGCGATGCATCATCCTTGATTGACTCTATCTGCTCTCACATGCAATGCTTGACTTAACAAATGCTTTTCTTACATTTATTCATCTAAAGAATCAGTTCTCTTCCTGTTTCCCTTCTGTCTGAATTTGCGGGGTGGGGTGTTGGTGCCAGGAGTGTTGTGACTGCCAACAGGTGGCCAGACACTAGATCAGTCTCTCTCCATCAGACAGTCCCCATCTGCTAGCTGGAATCACCATGTGTTCGTTCTGCTTATTACAGCAGCTGAGCCTCAAACTGAGTTCTTTGTGGGCTTCAGACAGATGCTTAACAAGGTGAGCCAAAGGGAGTCTGGCCATTAGGAGCTGTGTTAAAATAGCCTCAGCTGGAATCTGTCTTTCTTATGTTGTACAAGTGTTGCCTACAGCTTCCCCTGATAGCTTTGCCACAGGACTTCATTGTGTCATCAATCAGACGTGGCGATGATAGTTGATACTTCAGACAAAAATGTTTATGCCATGCTACTTTTTTAGGCTTTACATCTTATTTTGAGTTTAAAAGTGTTTCATGATCACCAGCATCCTAGCTTAAGCATTATTGGTTTTGAAGGGGAGTCTTAGTAAGGGCTTGAAAGATAATTACATTGTGAACATTGCCGGAAGAGATCTGGAATCAGAAACCATACATCACAGGGTTAAGTGGTACAATAGTGGCAGTGCAGCCTCAGGATGAGTTCCCCATTGGTTTATCAATAATAATTCCAAGGAGATCGGATGGACAGTGCAGCTCACCGGAGGGTGATTCACATTCTGTACAGGGCCTGGTACAAGCTAACCTGTGCCAACAAATACAATCATTATCTAAATTGCTCTAACAATTTATCTTAGGTTCAGACATTTTTTTTAAAATGGATTTACATTTTCCAAATGTTCTTTAAGCGCATTTTATTCTCTTCATTTTCCATTCCTATTTTGTTCATGCTTGAGTGGTACTGTAGGTGGAGTACAAATGGTGGGGAGGAGCCCATTTTTATAAAAACTAATTATTACAAATTCTTTATATGCAATACAATTGAGCATGGGCCTGATAATTAGCAAAGACCTGAGTTGGTCTAAATCATGTCCTTTCACAGAATAAGCAGAAAGGCCTGGGTGACAGTATGCAATACATGAAAGCATTTTTATTTAATTGAGGTTTGAAGGCTGTGGGCTCTTCCCAGCAGACACAAAGGCAAAACTGTCTCAGAAAACCGTGGGCAGGCATTTGAAAAACACATGAAGAGCAACTTCTAGCTGAGCCAATTTTTGTCAAACATCATATGGTGTGGCCCGTTTCGGCTTTCCTAGTAGAATCTGAAGCCAAAGGAACCCAGCCTAAATCTCAGCCACCTTGTTGTGTGAAGATGTGGAACAGGGGAGACTGGTGTCCAGATGGAAGAGTCTTTTAATTGGCGGAGTGTGAACCAGAGTGTGGGCACAGGATGCAGACACATCCTCGCTGCCACCATCATTACTGACTCGAAAAATGTACCAGGAGCACTGAGGAGCTGCTGAGGGAAGAAGCTAAGCTGTCCACAGCTTTGAATCACATCAGCACACGAGGGAGTAAAAGAAAAATGTGCATTCCTTGCAAAAGTACTTGAAAATGCTACTTTAACTCACTTAGTGTTATAATATGTGCTTTCTTGTCCATGTTTTAAGGCTATTCCTTTTTTTCATTTCTTTTCCAGAACAGATATTTCCAGTATTCTTTTGTGCCTGTATCCCCAACTGCTTATTATATTAGTTCAAAATCTGTTTTTATAGGAAGATTCTGTGCCTGAAGATGTAAAGCCAGACTTAAATAATATTGCTAAATACAGTACCTATGAATCAGAAAAAACACTTCTGTTTCATTACTAAGGGTGATAGGAAAGCTTGCTTCTTTATCAATGAGTTATGTGATTTTTAGATTCAGCAATCATCATGTACATAGATGGCTGCCCGCACTTAACAATCTGAGCTGAAGTTGACACTCCTTGCCTGAACATCAAGCTTGATACCCTTTGCTGTACAGAAATGGTTTTATTTGGGGAAACCTGCAGGCTTTCCTATGTACAAGAACATCTTTCTGGAATGTGAATTCTCCTAGAGGGGGCCCAATCTTCAATCATTATCTCATAGCCTGTCAGGGGTAAGGAAGCAACATGAACATGTGAACCAGAAAAAGTGTAGGCACTCCCAAGTAGAATGTGCAGAGGAGAATAAGGGAGGAACAAGAGATTATGGTACAACTGAAAAAAAATACGCAATTTCCCTAGGTAAAGCCTATTTGCATAGTATCTCTTATTTATCTATTTTGATAGTAATGAACACTTTACCTTCTAGTGTAGGTATGCAAGGTTTTTAAACACAAGAATACTTGAAAATCATCTAGAGAACCCCCAGTACAATTTTTTTAGGTCCTAGCTCATAATGACTCAGAATTTCCAGGTATGGTATTTAGGCCTGTTTGTGCATTTTGCAAAAGTTTTAGACAACTCGGAGGCACATTCCTAGTTAATAATAAAGGTGTAGCTGCTCACTTCTGTTTGGGCTTTACCTGGGGACCCACCATACCCTCCTTCAACTGTCCACCATGACTCCTGTTCAACTTGTCTCCTACTTAGACATAAAAACTAAAAAGTCAGGTGAAAAATGCATTTTTTTACTGCTCTTTTCTATTCCTTCATAATTTTCCACATTGGAATATAAAGTCACCTAATTTTTTCCTAAAGTCCAGAGGAAAGGAGTGTGTGAAAGTTTTCACCTCTGCTTTCTTAGTATCCAAGCCTGCTACCTCTTTGATTTGGGATGCAGTATAATATCCTGGTTTCCAGCCTCTCAAGCCAGACTATCTAGTTGAAAGTTCAACTTTACCACTTACCAATTGTATAACCTTAGAAAAAATTACTTTGCTTCTGTATCTCAGTTCCCTCATCTATGAAATGGAGATTCAAATCTCATTAGGCTGTTACAGGGAATAGTTACTACATGTAAAGCATTTCTATCAATGTCTGAACATATTATTTTTCCTCACAGCACTCTTCAGTCTAGATTTTTCTATGGCATATGACAATAGTTTCTACTCCCTTTTTGAATTTCTCTCTCCTACTTTATGTGAAAACACTCTATCCTCGTTTATCTCCAGCCTTTCTCATTATTTATTCACAATGTTTTTGAGGGAGAAGGGTTTTTTGCCTTTGTTCACCCACTCACATAGCATTCCTCAAGGTAATCTCATCCGCTGCTGAAATGTAAATGACTTTCTCATATTACCAAGTTTCAGACTCAAGTATTCCTCTTATTACAGAACATTATCTTTTCTCTTATCTCTATTCCTGTTCCATATATCAATAGAGGTTGTCTGCTACAGTGTTGGGGAATTATTGCCAAAGTTATGATTTTTAAAAACTGAAACTCTTTTAGAATATAGAAAACACCCAGAATCTTAAAATATAACTGCATTTATGAAATGGTTCTTCCTTTTTTCTCTTTTTTTCCATATGAGAGTGGCATAGCCTCTAGTTCATTAAAAATGATGACAAGTCCATTATATGATGCTGAAATTAAGGTAGACAAGTTTTCATTTGTGTCATCAAAAGCCTGGTTCTACAAACGTTTTTGTGTAGGCTGTAGTATTTTCGGATAAATGCTGTTTAAGCATCATCAACTGAGGTTTTATATTTAGTTCAAGTAGCTTAACACTAAAACTAATTTCTGCTTGCGAAGTCAATCCACAGAAATTTCAATGAGAAAACCACACACAATGATTTCACAAGAGAGTGAGCATGTTGGCAGAATTTGAAAGGAGGCCAGAGAAGGATAGCCACAATAGAATTTTCCATAGAAACTTTAAAATATAGTGGTCATTATTATGGGGGCAGAAAATATTACAGCCCTTGTAATAGAAATATATACAGTCAACTTACCACACCATTTAGATTAGAGGTTCAGAAGATTCGATTATAATGTAATTGACTATTAAAGGAACTAAAGAAGAAAAATCTATATCACTCAAAGTGGATCGAGGAGCAATAAAAATAGGGGAAAAAAGTTACAGTGACAAATCTTAGCATCATTAACCCACATTCTATTTTTTTAAGCAAGCACCTCTGCTGGTGGCCTTAGAATATTTTATATCCTAATGCCAATGTCAAGGCCATACTTAATGAGAAGATAGATGGTGAGAGTTGTAGC